TGTATTGTGTATTGTGCATTGTTGTCATTATGTCCCGTCAGGGGCCCTTAATTGGAAATAAAGAACTTTGAACTTATAGTTGTTAACCATGTTAATACACACTGGATGGTCCCACCAACCGCAATCTCGGGATCGAAAAGCAATATTCTAACCAACCAAGAAATGGAAGATTTGTCCTAACTCAACCAAGTAAGAGGCCTATTATACCTCCAATTATACAACATTCTTTTTCTTTGTCTTTCGCAGAGCGCTGCGCATCATCCCTCCAAACCGTTCACAGGTCCACTATTTTTCCACTGTTGAACAACCACCGGGTCTTTAGGAAATCATCTGATTAGTCCCTTACATGCCACAAGCATGTTACAGACACCCTTTGGACATATATGTGGGGGAATAAAAAATAAAAATAAAACTTTCTCTTTCTCATGATACACCATGCACGAATAAAAAAATACCAAAATAAAACATTCTCTTCAATGATATAGCATGCATAGATAATAGCTAAAAGGTGTAACGTTCTCTTCTATGATACAGTATTCATAGATAAAAGATACAGGGAAAACATTTTCTTCTATGATACAGCATGTATAAATAAAAGATACAGCCTGAGGAAAAAACTCTTTTCTCCCATGATACAATATACCCAAATAAAAGTTACATGTTAAAACATGCAAAACGTTCTCTTCTCCCATTTTAAAAATAGCATGCATAAATAAAGTATACAAGGGAGAACGTTCTTTTCTCCCATGATACAAAATGCCTAATAATAAGTTGCATGTTAAAACGTTCTCCTCTCCCATGATACAGCATGCATGAATAAAAGATACAGTGTAAAACGTTCTCTTCTCATGATACAGTATTCATATATAAAAGATGTAGGGAAAAACGTTCTTTTCTCCCATGATACAGTATGCATAAATAAAAGATACAGGGAAAGTCGTTTTCTTCTCTCATGAATTCATTTTGATACAGTATATATAAATAAAAAATACACGAAAAACATTCTCTTCTCCGAAAATACAGTGTGCATAAATAAAAGATAAAGGAAAACATTCTATTTCTCATGATACACCATGCATGAATAAAAAAAACCAAAATAAAACATTGAATTTCTCTTCCATGATACAGCATGCATAAATAATGGTTAAAAGGTGAAACGTTCTCTTCTATGATACAGTATGCATATATAAAAAATACAGGGAAAACATTTTCTTCTCCTATGATACACCATGTATAAATAAAAGATACAGCCTGAGGAAAAAACTCTTTTCTCCCATGATACAATATACCCAAATAAAAGTTACATGTTAAAACATGCAAAACGTTCTCTTCTCCCATTTTAAAAATAGCATGCATAAATAAAGTATACAAGGGAGAACGTTATCTTCTCCCATGATACAAAATGCCTAAATAAAAGTTGCATGTTAAAACGTTCTCCTCTCCCATGATACAGCATGCATGAATAAAAGATACAGTGTAAAACGTTCTCTTCTCATGATACAGTATTCATATATAAAAGATGTAGGGAAAAACGTTCTTTTCTCCCATGATACAGTATGCATAAATAAAAGATACAGGGAAAATCGTTTTCTTCTCTCATGAATTGATACAGTATATATAAATAAAAAATACACGAAAAACATTCTTTTATCCCTTGATACATCATGCATTGACTAAAGTTACACAGTAAATCGTTTCCTTCTTTAATGATATAGTATGCATAAATAAAAGATACAGGGAAAGAAGTTCTCTTCTCCCATGAAACAGTATACATAAATAAATGATGCAGGGAAAAACTTCCTTTTCTCCCATGATACAGTATGCATAAATAAAAGATACAGAGAAAATCGTTTTCTTCTCTCATGATACAGTATACATTGATAAAAAAATACACGGAAAAACATTCTCTTCTCCCAAAATACAGTATGCATAGATAAAAGATACAGGAAAAATCATTCTTTTCTCCCATGATACAGCATGCATTGATTAAAGTTACAGGGTAAATCTTTTCCTTCTTTAATGATACAGTATGCATAGACAAATAAAAGATGCAGGAAAAAATGTTCTCTTCTTCCATGTTACAGTTTACGTTAATAAAAGATGCACGAAAAAAAACCAACATTATCTTCTGAATCTCCCATGATACAGTATGCGTAAATAAAAGTTACAGAGTAAACCGTTTACTTCCCTCGTGATACAGTATGCACCGTTGGTTTTCCTTTTTGAATTGTTTTACACTAGTCTTTTTGGACCCTTTATAGCTTGCTGTTCGGTGTGAGCCAAGGCTCCGTGTTGAAGGCCGTACTTTGACCTATAATCGTTTACTTTTTACACATTGTGACTTGGATGGATAGTTGTCTCATTGGCACTCATATCACATCTTCTTATTTATAATAAATAAAAGATATAGAAAACTTTCTCATCTTCCACGATGCAGAATACATAAATAAAAGATTAAGTAGGGTAAATGTTTTCTTCTCCCATGACTCAGTTTGTACAGATAAAAGTTTCAAGGAAACAATTCTCTTTTCCCATGATATAGCATGCCTTAATAAAAAATATAAGGTAAAACGTTCTCGTCCTTTATTAACTTTATCTCTAGTATAGTATGCAAATGGACACGCAAGGAAAGCTTTCTCTTTTTCCGTGAATAGGATGCATATTTAAAGATGTAGTGGTGATTTTGTGAATCGACGAATAACGTGTAGTGGACAATGTTACATGCATATCAGGACGTGAACAAACATAATAACGTGTAGTGGACAATGTTACATGTATATCAGGACGTGAACAAACATAATAACGTGTAGTGGACAATGTTACATGTATATCAGGACGTGAACAAACATAATAACGTGTAGTGGACAATGTTACATGTATATCAGGACGTGAACAAACATAATAACGTGTAGTGGACAATGTTACATGTATATCAGGACGTGAACAAACATAATAACGTGTAGTGGACAATGTTACATGCATATCAGGACGTGAACAAACATAATACATATACAGTAATGCATAGTTAAAAGATACAGGGTAAAACATTCTCCATTTATTTTCTTATCATGTGCAGATGGAAGATACAGGGTAAAACGTTCTCCATTTATTTTCTTATCATGTGCAGATGGAAGATACAGGGTAAAACGTTCTCCATTTATTTTCTTATCATGTGCAGATGGAAGATACAGGGTAAAACGTTCTCCATTTATTTTCTTATCATGTGCAGATGGAAGATACAGGGTAAAACGTTCTCCATTTATTTTCTTATCATGTGCAGATGGAAGATACAGGGTAAAACGTTCTCCATTTATTTTCTTATCATGTGCAGATGGAAGATACAGGGTAAAACGTTCTCCATTTATTTTCTTATCATGTGCAGATGGAAGATACAGGGTAAAACGTTCTCCATTTATTTTCTTATCATGTGCAGATGGAAGATACAGGGTAAAACGTTCTCCATTTATTTTCTTATCATGTGCAGATGGAAGATACAGGGTAAAACGTTCTCCATTTATTTTCTTTTCATGTGCAGATGGAAGATACAGGGTAAAACGTTCTCCATTTATTTTCTTATCATGTGCAGATGGAAGATACAGGGTAAAACATTCTTCATTTATTTTCTGTTCATATGCAGATGGAAGATACAGGGTAAAACGTTCTCGTCCGTTAATTTTCTCATCATTTATACAGCATATGCAGATGATAGATACAGGTTATAATGGTTTCGTCCGTTAATTTCTTATCATTCATACACCATGTGCAGATGAAAAGATACATGGTAAAAGAGAGGCGAAAGATATCAAAGGGACATTCAAACTCATAAGTCGAAAATAAACTAAACTAATGGCTGAAAAAGAAAGAGACCAACAGACAAACAACAGTACACAAAACAAATCATAGAAAACTAAAGACTGAGCAACACGAAGCCCACCAAAAACTGGGAATCTCAGGTACTCCGGAAGGATAAGCAGATCCTGCTAAAATGTTCTCGCCCGTTTATTTTATTTTCATTTATACAGCATATACAGATGATAGATACAGGGTAAAATGTTCTCGTCCGTTATTTTTCTGATCATTTATACAGCATATACAGATGATTGATACAGGGTAAAATTTTCTCGTCCATTATTTTTCTGATCATTTATACAGCATATACAGATGATAGATACAGGGTAAAATGTTCTCGTCCGTTATTTTTCTGATCATTTATACAGCATATACAGATAATTGATACAGGGTAAAATGTTCTCGTCCGTTATTTTTCTGATCATTTATACAGCATATACAGATGATAGATACAGGGTAAAATGTTCTCGTCCGTTATTTTTCTGATCATTTATACAGCATATACAGATGATTGATACAGGGTAAAATGTTTTCGTACGTTAATCTTCTTTTCAGTTATCATGGTTATACAGCATATGGAGATGACAAACTTTGGAAAAAGGTTGAGCCTAAACAATATTTTAAAACCAAAAAGAGATCTTAATATCAATTCATAAAATGTTGCTGCAAAATTCTTTCAGTTTATTTTCGAGGTATGGTTTTTGTCTCGCATGCGACAAAAGTCGCGGAAAGCGAGACATACGCATTGCTTTTTCGGCGACGGCGACGGTGACGGAACTACTTGTGATAGATCATTAATATTTGATATAAAGTTGCATTACTATCAGTACATATCAGTTTGACGACTGTTTTGAGGCCCTGTCCCCTAGGTCATGGATCAGTGACTTTGAATTAATTAGCAATTTTCAATGTTAAGTTACTACTTACAATAAACGATATTTTTTTTTATAAAGTTACATTACTGTCTGTTCATCCCAGTTTGTAAACCATTTTCAGGCCCTGCCTACTAGATTATAGCTTTGAATTAATAAGCAATGTTGCTGTTCATAAGAATTTTATGCCGACAGGCGAGAAATATCTTTGTGTCAACAGTTTATTGTTACTCCTGTATATTTATTATACCTATCTATTTATTCTTTTCTTCTAGAATGCATATGGTACATAAAGATGTGTAGAACTCGATGCTATTGTATTGTGGGAATGCACTAATAAAAAAAAATTCAGTGACCATTGTGTAAATTAAATAATGTGATATTCTATAAAAGAATCTTTTGCGTAAGTCCTGAAGTGAAACCTTAGTTATACATGTATTTGTCCAATATGGCCGAAGGATTTTTGTAACATTTAATATCGACTGTTATGAGTTAAATGACATATCAGGCCAATTCAATATTCTATAATGTGATATTAGAACAGTAAGGGTTATTAAAAGAAATAGATTATGGCTTATCGTATTAATCAACGACAATAGGTCAAGGCCTAGCCAATGGATGGATAATAAAGTTCAAGTTCTGTGAACTTTAGCACATTCAATTATAGGTTTAGCAAGTTATGTCGGGGCAAACTAATAATGATACTGTCCTATCAGTCGAACATGAGGAACGAAAGAATGGAGAATTTAAAATATCCAGACATGTAACAATTGTATCTGCAGATAAAGAGAAGTTAACGGATAAATGTGGTATAGACAGGTTGATTGATGCTGACACTGTCCAAGACAAACAGCTTCATCCGAACAAAAGACTTTCCAATAATATTGATTCAGCATCATTCGACCAAGACAAGAAGACGTCATATTTAGTAGATGTTCCAACAATATTGATAGACAATGATCTTCAAAACACGCTTGAGGTACGTTCATCACGCATTGTCAAAGACACTAAAGACAATTGTTCACATCGGCCACAACATTGTGCACAAAGAAATCCGTCGTTCTTATCGATGCGAGAAAAGATGCAACCCACATTGGTTCAAAATGCAATTGATGGATCATCTGTAGATCCAACACCTGATAACACTGAATCACATGATGACTTCGGATTTACAAATTTAGAAAACAATGCGTCGTTTACCACAACAAATCAAAGCACAGAGGATAACAACATTGCATTACATATAAGTTGTGAGGAATTATCAGAAATGAGTGGTTGTATTGAATGTGTCAAAGCAATTCCTGTTTTCTCTGCATACGAAATTCAAGAAGGAGATCATATCGTATTTGCTGGTACAGTGTACGATCACCATGCAATTGTACACTCTAAACTTCCTGGCAAACGGTTTGAAATAATAGAAGCAACAAATACAATATTTGGAGTAGCAACAGGTGTCTTTCTTGGCAAAAAAGCTCTCATTGGAAAATCAACCAAATTGTTTAACTTTGCAACACAAAATCTTCGTGTCATAGCTTACAGAGTAAGGCCGTTCACGCGGAAAGAAACTGCCGAACGAGCAAGAAATTTTGTTGAATGTGATGGGACGAGTGAGAATTACGATTATGACCTTTTCGATAATAATTGCGAACATTTTGCAACATATTGCGTTACAGGAAGAAAATTCAGTATTCAAGTAACAAAATTCAGATTAACCAGTAGTTTGTTTTGGAAAAGTGGTTTCATTGGGATAAGTGATGAATCGATCAGGAATGAAAAGCAATATGAACACGGAATAATATGTAAACAGTGTTTTGAAATCAACGAACAATTATTAAATGTAAATATTAGGCCAATAGAAAAGGCAGAAGATGTTCAAAAGGGAAACATCATAAGGTACAGTTACTGGAACTTGTGGCATGATGCTGTCATCTTGGACATAAAAGATGCCGACAATTCTCATGTTACATGCTACATTGCACATTATGCGTTCTGTGGCATATTTCGGCATAGGACAATTAAACGAGAGGAATTGAGAGTCTATTTTGATGGCAGCTTTAAGATATTGGAATATGGTCCACCAGACTATAATGTTTACGACGTGGAGACTGTCATTGAAAGGGCATCGGGACGACTAGGTGAACAACAGTTTATATTCTTTTCTAATGATTCCAGTCATTTCTCGCGTTGGTGTAAACTAAAACGGGAAAAAAGCAACAGTCGAGGACAGGTTGTAACATTTAAAACCATTCGATATTAATGTTGTGAAATTTCATTTAAATACACTTATTCATTGTTTGAACGACATATGTACGCAGAATAGTTATTTTTCAGAGATATTTATACTGTGGATTCGTTTATTTTCGAGGGTACCAATTAACGTACGTGGATTGAGATGAAAAAATGTGTTTTCTCGGTTTATCAAAAGTGTGCATGCAAGCTTTCCGGAAATTTTTACTTCGTTGAACACACACATTCGTGGTTTCGTTTTTCTAATGAGATCCGCGAAAATTGGTAATCCACGAATAGTACTTAACTTGCAGTATAATGTTTTGGGTTGAATTATTTTTCTGACTCACTCCAGTTTTTAACATTAATCAATATTCGGGTTTGGCTTTATTTTGGTCGTTATTTAGTACATCAGCTATTCAATAGTCAAATAAGTGTTTGATTTTGATACATTATGGCCTCAAGCATCACTGAAGAGACCATTATTATCTAAATGTGTATCTAGTGGAGTAACTATTTACCGTTTAAGTGGTTCTGTTTATCCCTAAGACATGGAAACTAATTTTTGTTGATATTTCCATCTATGTAATCATAAATATTCATTGTTATTACGCTGTTGTGAACAATATTGTCTGTTTGTCTCTGTTGTTTAGATAAAAGGAATTATTCCAAATCTTCTAATTTTAATATTTCAAACAAAATTTTCAACTGGTTGGTTCAAAATAGAGTTGTTTAAACTTAGCCATTCTTAAATGTAAACTTTAAAGAAATCAATTCTCTGCTGAACATGAAGTTTAATTTCTTTTTTCCTGGTCCATTTTAACATCTTTTTCCCTGGTACATTTTAACAATTTACGGGGAATGGAAGTGTATCATTCCTAACAGCGATAGAAAAGTAGGATTTTAAGGATGTTCGCTCCTCTGTTTAAAAATAACAAGCCTTTTCAAAGACTGTTATAAATTGATAGTATACAAATAATGGAGCTTAGAAAGCAGAAAAAAATGAAAGGTCCGTGTTCATGTTTTAGAGACAAGCAATTGAAAATGTGGCGGGAAATGATTCTCTCTAGATTTTTCATACATTTAACATTGGCTCCTATTTTCTCTCAAAAACTATGAAAAAATAACAAGGATTTTATAAGATTTTCAAAAATTACTTTTGAAACTATATGCAATAAAATTATGAAGAAAAGTAGGGATAAGCGGGCAAAATTTGTATTGGCACAATATGGATAAAACTAGAGGATTCCGAATATCTGGCAAAAAGTCAAAAACAAGAGTAGCGAACATCCTTAAAACAATTTGGAAAAACTTAAGGATGTAATTAGGTGAAATTAAAAAAATCTAGAATTTGAAATTGATACTATAAGTCAGAAGAGCATTAGTTTGGGAACAAAATATGGCTAAAAATATTGATAGTTTATGGAGCTCCTTTTCGAAATATTTTTTTTTTACAAAATGGTGGGAAAAGGTTGACTCGGACTTTTATTTGCATTGGTATTATTTGGGTCTCAATCGAAAGAAAAGAGTCCGAACATCTGACAAAAATTCATAAACCTAAGAGGCATTAATTACTGCAAGCAACTCAAGAGAATTTTGAGAAACATTTCTTCGTGTTCGGGCTATTCATTCAATCTATTTGGAAATATTCTTAATGTTAACAGTTGATTATTTCTCTTATCGCGAAAGTTGCTTACTAAATTGCTCGCGAAAACTTGTTGGTTTAGAGACTATATTGAGGCATTATATTTATTTCTTCAATATTTCTTCAATATTTTGAAATGTTTTGTTTTATATATATTAACTTAGATGTTTGATGGCAACTGCATTTTATTGACATTTTTCATAAACTTCATATGCTTTTCATCCTATGACCGTCGTGGAAAGGGCCATGGAAAGACTATGCAAACAATAAACAGTTGTCATATTTTTGAAATTACCGATAAAACACAATATATAAGCTTTAGTATATCAGCGTAGTATAGAATTGAAAAAAAAGGTGAATATTATTCAAACTTTATCACATTGTACAGCTGTTGTAGTTTAGATCATGCTTTTTCAAATATATGATAAAAGGTATAGGTTACCATGCTTTTTTACAAGCTGAAGGCTAGGGAAAAAAATACATATTCTATACGGATAATATTTTGTGTTTTTTTATTGGGGAATTATATAGAAAGACTATCATTGCTCCCTTAATTTACTCCATAGATGGTGAAATAGTCAGACAGTAATCGTAAATCAAAATAGTAATACTTTAAAATATTGCGATAGCAGAGGGCATTGAATAAAAATCTCTCTTTTATTATTCTTGTAGAAAAATAAATATTGAGAATCAGATATATTGTATAAGTTGAATATCAAATAGAACATATAAGAATTAATATATACCGAAACGTGCATTTTTTTAATATTACCTATAATTGTTTATTTATATGTGTACACACAGTACTTTCTATATTATGTTAGGATTTAATTTAATTGGTTTTTATTTGCGGTAGTATTATGTTATGGTGTTGTCTGTGCCTGCGTCTGAAGACATTTTGGTTCGCAGACAATAACTTGAGTATAAGTTCATGGATCTCTATAAAATTTTAGCACAAGGTTCCATACCACTAAAGGATGGTTGGGATTTATTTTGGGTTTTTGTCGAGCCTGCGACTTTTGTCGCAGAAAGCTCGACATAGGGATAGTGATCCGGCGGCGGCGGCGGCGGCGTTAGCTAACTTCTTAAAAGCTTTATATTTTAGAAGGTGGAAGACCTGGATGCTTCATACTTTGTATATGGATGCCTCATGTTACGAAGTTTCCGTCAGTCACATGTCCAATGTCCTTGACCTCATTTTCATGGTTCAGTGACTACTTGAAAAAAAAGTTAACATTTTTTGTAATGTTAAATTCTCTCTTATTTTAAGTAGCAGGATAACTATATTTGGTATGTGCGTACCTTGCAAGGTCCTCATGCTCGTCAGACAGTTTTCACTTGACCTCGACCTCATTTCATGGATCAGTGAACAAGGTTAAGTTTTGGTGGTCAAGTCCATATCTCAGATACTATAAGCAATAGGTCTAGTATATTCGGTGTGTGGAAGGACTGTAAGGTGTACATGTCAAACTGACAGGTGTCATTTGACCTTGACCTCATTTTCATGGTTCAGTGGTTATAGTTAAGTTTTTGTTTTGGTCTGTTTTTCTTATACTGTATGCAATAGGTCTACTATATTTGGTGTATGGAATGATTGTAAGGTGTACATGTCTAGCTGGCAGGTGTCATCTGACCTTGACCTCGTTTTCATGGTTCAGTGGTCAAAGTTAAGTTTTTGAGTTTCGGCCTTTTTTTCTTATACTATATGCAATAGGTCAACTATATTTGGTGTATGGAAATATTTTATGATCTATATGTCAGTCGTGCAGGTTTTATATGACCTTGACCTCATTTTCACGGTTCATTGCTCAGTGTTAAGTTTTTGTGTTTTGGTCTGTTTTTCTTAAACTATAAGCAATAGGTCAACTATATTTGTTATATGGAAGAATTGTTAAACTGTACATGTCTGCCTGGCATGGTTCATCTGACCTTGACCTCATTTTCATGGTTCATTGGTCAATGTTTAGTTTTCTTGGTTAATGTTAAGTTTATGAAACAGTTGTAATAAAGCTTTATATTTAGGACTATCAACATAATTTCAATGATTAGTAAAGAAGGCGAGACATTTCAGCGTGTGCACTCTTGTTTGTTGTAGATGTTTAGTAATGAAGGACCAAAAAGGGGTCAAAAACAAGCATTTTTCATGTTTCAAAAACTAAATCATTGGTGTTCTTTAATGTGTGCAATCTAACAGTGTTTTAAATTTTGATTTTGGGCCAGTTTTTCAAACTGGACCCCATAAAGGTCCAAAGTATCAAAAATAAAACTTAGTTTGATTTTAACAAAAAATTAAACAATGTGGTTATTTGATATGCTGAATCCAACCATGAATTTTGGAATTTGAATATTGGCCCATAATTGGTAAATGTCCAATTTTAAAATTATTCAAGAACTTATACCACATTCATTCTGTGTCAGAAACTATGCTATAATTACATATTTGCTCAGAATCTAAATTCAGAGATGTCATTGGACAATTAACAGAAATTTTAAGTAGGATCATAGTTAAAAATAGATAAGATATAACATGATATCTAGTTTTAGAGAACTATTGTTGTGGTTAACATCACGGGTTCATGGAAAATAAATTGGTTCTCAGACAATAACTTTAGTATAAGTGTATGGATTTGTAAGAAATTTAAGCACAAGGTTCCATACCACAATAGGAGGGTTGGGATATTAAATAGTTAATCAAGTTCTACATTTATAGATTTTATTTTAAACTAATAGAAATTTTAAATTGAGTCATAGTTTAAAATAGATATGCTGATTCAGATATATTAATTGTGGTGATAATTGTGTATGTATCGTGTTCTATTTAAAGATTGTTAACATGTTTGAATATTTTCTTATGGTTGAAAATTCCCTTGGAAATTAAAATAGACCTTTGTTTATCTGTTGAATTCGAAGTGTAGGTAAGTGAAGTTTTTAAATACAATTGTGCCATACATTATGTTATGTTACATCTTAATAAAAAAAAATGTTATTTTTAGATAATAATCTATTTTTATTAAAGGATATATTTCATTACATAACATTGTGTAGATAAAGTTGTTGACATTGATAGATAAGTTTCAGATATTAGTTTGTGACAAATGAAAGAAAACATATTTGGAACTATTAATTATATATATAAAGTTTGATTACACTAAGTGTTTTTAAATATTTTTCACCTATTATCAAGATAACAAAGCATGTGGCAATTATCAATCACACAATTATAATTGGAGTGACAGATTAATTTGAAAATTTTGTGTTTCTTAAGTGTTGTTGATGATAAGCTCTGTAGGACGGTATAATTATAGTTTAAAATTTACTGTTCATTATTAGATATTTTGAAGATAATTACAGATAAGTTTTATAGATTTTTTAAAGAAATTTTTTGTATATATAAATTTGTTTAGGGGCCAGCTGAAGGACGCCTCCGGGTGCGGGAATTTCTCGCTGCATTGAAGACCTGTTGGTGACCTTCTACTGTTGTCTGTTCTATGGTCGGGTTGTTGTCTCTTTGACACATTCCCCAATTCCATTCTCAATTTTATTGTATTAATGATAAATAATATTTTGGAATTTTTTTTCTTTTCGTTGGTAAATTGTTTGAAGAATTTTGTGGTAGGTTTGTTTGTTATTCTGTATAAACTAATTTTCTGAATGCTATATATATATATATATTTTTGATGAAGCGAACTCCTTTAAAACTAAGCTTATATTGTCTATTAATAAACATAGATTTAATGTTATATGCCTATTAATAAACATGTATTTAGATTTTTGATTTTGGGCCCAGTTTTCAAGTTGGTCCAAATGAGGGTCCAAAATTAAAGTTTGTTTGATTTCAACAAAAAATGAATTTATGGGGTTCTTTGAAATGCTGAATCTAACCATGTATTTAGAGATTTTTGATTTGGGGCTTCTTTATCAAATTGGTCCACATTGAGGTCCTAAGGGTCCTAAATTAAACTTTTGTTTGATTTCATCAAAAATTGAATTCTTGGGGTTCTTCAGTTCAAATTTTTCAGTTCTTTAACCATATTCATTTTGTGTCACAAACCTATGCTGTGTCAAATATTCAATCACAATCCAAACCTCTGCGGTCGTATGAAGCTTGCGCCTAGCCGAGCAATTTATCTTCAATGCTTTTCTGAATATTGTATAATTATTTGTATTTTTTTCTCCAACTTGGTTTCTTCCCCCTCTTTCCGAATTAATGCAATTCATGTAAATATTAACTTATATTTCTTAACTAAATAACATTGACACAGTATATATGATCATATTTTATTAAGATTACAGTTGATATTATTTATCTTTTTATATTATGTAAGGATTCAATTTAACGTTTTTTTTTAGTTTTAATCCTCATCTGAGTATTGCATAATAGTTTGTACTGATACCCCTTATTTAGATTATATTTTATAGGTGCTGTTTATTATACTTTTGTATTATTATATCTGATTTTGTTTAACTATATAAAGTGTTAATTATATATATTATGATATTAGTTTTTACATGATAGTACATGTGTTTCAATACATTGCTAGTCACAATATGCTGGGAACAGTATGTTCCTGCAATATGTAAGAAGTTAACAAAATGTTTTTATAAGCAATCTGATTTTTATCAATTTGAAAGTGGTTTGCTGAGTATGCTCGCTCCTCTTGTTTTTGATTTATTAAAGTTTTGCCGCTAACCCCTACTTTTCATTTCATAATTTCATTACATATAGTTTAAAAAAGCAAATCTTATAAAATCCTTGTTATTTTTTCATTGTTTTTGAAAGAAAAAGGTGCCAATGTTAAATGTATGAAAAATCAAGAGAGAATCATTTCCCGCCAAATTTTCAATGGCTTATATCTCGAAAACAAGCACATGGACCCTTCATTTTTTATGTTTTTTTAAATCCTTCATTTATATACATATACTATCAATTCATAACAGTTTTTTACAAAGCTTGTTATTTTGAAACAGGAGCGAACATCATTAATTTATGAAGTGCATTATCATTCGTATAAAATCCTTGTTATTTTTTTCATTGTTTTTGAAAGAAAAAGTTGCCAATGTTAAATGTATGAAAAATCAAGAGAGAATCATTTCCCGCCAAATTTTCAATGGCTTATATCTCGAAAACAAGCACATGGACCCTTCATTTTTTATGTTTTTTTTAAATCCTTCATTTATATACATATACTATCAATTCATAACAGTTTTTTACAAAGCTTGTTATTTTGAAACAGGAGCGAACATCATTAATTTATGAAGTGCATTATCATTCTTATAAAATCCTTGTTATTTTTTTCATTGTTTTTGAAAGAAAAAGGTGCCAATGTTAAATTTATGAAAAATCAAGAGAGAATCATTTCCCGCCAAATTTTCAATGGCTTATATCTCGAAAACAAGCACATGGACCCTTCATTATTTTATGTTTTTTGAAATCCTTCATTTATATACTATCAATTCATAACAGTTTTTTACAAAGCTTGTTATTTTGAAACAGAGGATCGAAGATCATTAATTTATGAAGTGCATTATCATTTTGATACTAGTACTAATAGTTTTAGGGAAAAAGATAATTGATTGTGAATCTAGAAGAAATCTTCAATACAGAAAATAATGAAGTCAGAAAATTAAAGTCCAAGAATTCAGGATGATAACATGAGCACATAATCCCACAATGTACAGTAGGGATTTAGAAGCTCGACATTAATCTTATCTCATGTTATATTAAAACAGTAGAGTATGGTTTCGGTGCACTGTCGTGTTAATGTTTGTTGGCATTAAAAAGTGTTAATAATTAGGTTATCACTTTTATTGACATTTTGTTACAATACATTTTAGTAACGGTAACTTGGCACTAAATAAAAACTCTCCTATTTGTTTTGTCATTTAACATTCATTTTCCCATGTATGTATTTGTGCTCCCAGCTTGTGTTATGAAATAAAAAAAGAAATAATAAACTATTTTATTATGGTGTCACATATTGATTGACATACATATTATACAATAACATTAAAACATACATGGAACAATCAATACCCAGCCATATCAATTTGGCTAATGAGACACATGGCACAAAATATATACATGTTCTTATAAATTCAGTCGATACTTTGAAATTCTTTTTTTTTTAAAACAAATGACTATGATTTAAGAGTATTTTCAACACGAAAAAAAAACAAAAGAAAAAATAGATAAATAAAAATATTGTGTAAAAAATTATTTTCTTTACATTTATTTAAAACTTTCGACA